CACATATCTATGCCCAGTGATCTATGCCCGTGTCAATCGGCCCAAACCGCATTCCTTATGACCCGTAGCCACTGCGCTCAACACCGTCGTCTAGGTATTAAGCACCATACCGTGTCGACCTTGCGTTGGGTTCTTAGTTCTTCGACGTGCAAAGCACCATCATTGTCAAAAGCAGAAGCGTCCTGTCCCCACATTCGTTCCTGGAGTCGTTGGCCACGTACTTCGCTGGTCTACTGATTAACTACTGCCTAGTATTGACGAGTAAAGTGATGTGAACCAACGTGGGTCAAGTCGGGTCGTGGGCCGCTGGCCACGGAGAGCGGCCGGCCTCTGCCGTGGGCAGCCTTTTCGCTCCATGTGCTCCGATTGGCTCTCCCGCGCACGCCTTCTCATTGGTTGAAATTCACTTGGTGCGGCGCTTTCTGTGGCACGCGATTGGACGATACGTGTCACGAAGCGCTGTGATTGGCGGAGGCGGCGGAATCTGGGACTGGTGGCCAGGCAAATGAATCTGTTGTTATCGGATCCCTTCGCGGCTGCGGGGTACTCTCTTGAAGTTTGTATGCTGGCGGCAATGACGTTACACCCTTTTTTCTTTTGCTCATTTCGAATTTCCCCTCGGTCCCAGTAAGACAACGATGGCGCAGCAGCAGATGCCCGAATTCAAGCTCATCCTTGTCGGCGACGGCGGCGTCGGCAAGACGACCTTCGTCAAGCGCCACTTGACGGGCGAGTTCGAGAAGAAGTACGTGGCGACGCTCGGCGTCGAGGTCCACCCGCTCAAGTTCGAGACCAACTTCGGCCCGATCAAGTTCAACTGCTGGGACACGGCCGGCCAGGAGAAGTTTGGCGGCCTCCGCGACGGCTACTACATCCAGGGCCAGTGCGCCATCATCATGTTCGACGTGACGTCGCGCATCTCGTACAAGAACGTGCCCAACTGGCACCGCGATCTCTTCCGCGTCTGCGAGAACATCCCGATTGTGCTCTGCGGCAACAAGGTCGAGGTCAAGGACCGCAAGGTCAAGGCCAAGCAGATCACGTTCCACCGCAAGAAGAACCTCCAGTACTTTGACATCTCGGCCAAGTCCAACTACCAGTTCGAGAAGCCCTTCCTCTGGCTCGCGCGCAAGCTCGTCGGCGACAACAACTTGACGTTCGTTGAGGCCGCCGCCCTTGCCCCGCCGGAGGTTGTCATGGACCAGAACCACATCTCCAGCCTTGAGGCCGACCGCCTTGCCGCCATCAACGCGCCGCTGCCCGATGAGGACGACGATATCTAAGCGCTGAGGCCATTTCTTATTTGCACATGCGCGGGCGCCTGTCCGCGGTAGTAGACAAAAGTGAACTCAATCAAGAAATCTCTTTTCCATCTCTTACATCGTGAACCATGTTCCCAAGTCCGTATGGCTGTCTGTCGGAAGCTGTGGTGGATGGACCGTCCCTGGGAGCCGTCCCTAACGTTAGCCGTTGTTTCCATCTCGCGGGCCTCGTGCACCCAAGTGTACCCAAGCCATTGGTCAAAATCCGACGTAAATCCTGTATATCGCTGCTTTTGATTGGTTAAAAATCCATTCTCGATTTTGACATGGAGGCCCGCGTCGCTCGGGCCATGGAGCTGGCCCAAGGACCGCGGATAAGCGTGACGGACGAGGAAGTGGCGGCGCAGATCCGGCGCGAGGCTGCGCGCAAGAAGGAGCGGGCAAAGGAGCTCGGCGTCATGAGCTACATGGTACGTTCCAGTCTTCCCTTCGACGATAAGCAGACCATGGTGCGCCTAGCTGCCCGTGGCGCCAGCGACGAACGTCAACAAAGGCTTCCTCCTCAACACGATCCGAGGGTAAGGCGCGTTGAAAGCCCTTCTCATGGCGGTCCTGTAGCGTCGACTCGCACAACAAGCGCCAAGAGATCGACCAATGCTGGCGGAAGCGCGACCTCGAAGCTAAAGTCCACCGGCGGCGGTCTCGCTCGCGCGACCGATCTCGGTCCCGAGAGCGACGCCACCGGAGGCGCAGCTCCAGCCTTGATCGCCGCCATCAACGACGCAGCGCAAGTCGCAGTCCGTCGCCGACGCGGGCGGAGGACGAGCGATCGTACTGGGCCGAGCGCAAGGCCGCGCGGACCGCCGAGCTCCTCGCCCAGCTGGACGGCCGCAGTTGCACGCTCGAGAACGCGCCAAATTACGACGAGAGCTCGTCGTCCGAGAGCGACGAAGCCAAAGCCAAAAGAGCGGCGAAGAAGGCTGCCAAACAGGCCAAGCGCGCCAAGAAGAAGGCGAAGAAGAAGAAGGTCAAGAAGGACGCGCGGTCCTAGCTGCAGAGACGGGCGAGTGGGTTGAATGTTACATAAAGCTACGGATTCCTATGGCGAGAAGTCGAGTCGAGCGCTACGGCGGCGTCCCGAACAGCCCGACGCTGTGCGGCGGCGTGCCAAAGTCGATCTTCTTGACCGCCGACGGCGGCTTGAAATGGATGTACGTCGGCGACGACTCGTTCGAGGACGTGGGCGGGCGCTGCTTGGTCGTCGAGTTGTACTTGTGCGGTGGCGGCTGCGTCGGCTTGGTCTGCGTCGGCGGCGTTTCGGTCGAGTCAAAGCAAAAGCTCTCTTCGAGCTGGCCTTGGGCAAAGAGGTCTTCGAGGAACTCGGCCTTCTTCTCCGGCGTCAGCGGCACCGTCTTGTCTTCGACCACGATGTTCTTGACGGCTGGCTGGCTCAGTCTACCAAGTAGTGAGCTCAAGTGCAGAAGGAAGCAGCAGCCTACTGCGTGCGTCCGTGCAACTCGGCCCGCGCGGCCTCGAGAATCGCCTTCTCGAGCGGCTCGAGCACCGTGTCGAGGCCGTCGGCAAACATTTGGTCGGCGCGCATGAGATCCTTGTGCTCCTACGCGACACAAGTGGCTTGCGACCAGTTGGCGCTCATGGTGCTACCTCCTCGACGCTGGCTCGCGCCAGCCAGTAGACAGCTTTCGTGAGCACGACGCTCGGGCAGTTGCGCGCAATGTCATCAAAGACCGCGCGTGCGCCGCCAAGGGTAAACTAGAGGAAGATGCATGAAGGCACGTACGACGTCGCCAGGCGAACGTACCTTGGAGATGTACAGCGCTTCGTCGAGACGCGCGCGAAGCTGCGTCTGGAGCGCGGCCGTAAACTCGACGTCCTTCTTCGGCGACGGCGCGGCCGGCGGTACCACCTCGGCGGGCTTGAAGTGCGTCGACAAGAGCGTTTGCACTGGCTCCTTGGGCGTCGGATCGGCCGGCTTCTTGGCCTTGAAATGCGAGGCCGGGACCTCGACGGACCGGTACACGGTCTCGGTCAAGGGCGTCGACGGGACCGCCTCGTTTGGCTTGGTGAAGAGAAGGGCCTTGGAGGAGGTTGACGGAACGGCCTCGTCCGTCTTGGTGAAGAGAAGGGACTTGGTGACGCTTGATGGCGCCGTCTTGGGCGTTGCAGACTCGGGAAACGCGCTCTTCTTGACCTTGAAGTGCGACGAGAGGACGTCTCGATGTGGCATGGGTGCGTCTGCTTGCTTCTGATGCCGCAGGGCACTCGAGCTCGACGGGAGCGCAAAGGTCGACTTGGTCGCCTCCGGCGTCGTGGCCGCGTCCAAAGGCGATGGTGCTGGCTTGCATTCGAGGTCGAGGTCGAGCGATACGTTTTCTTGGCGTCGGTAGCATGGCGCGTTTCCAAATGGAGAGGCCGCGACCGCCTTCTCAAGGGACCGCGGCTGCTTGAAGGCGCTGAAGCGTTCTGTCTTGGCGCTTCTTCCGTGTACGAGTGACCGCACCGGCTTGGGCGTCGCCGGCACAATGGGCTGGGCTTTGGATGGCGCAGCGAACGGAGCAATGGATGGTGCAAGGTCGACATCGTCGTCATCGTCGTCGTCCGAGTCGTCAAACATGAGTCGCGTCTTGACGTGTTGAAGCGTGTCGTCAGCTGTAGACGCTACAGGTCGAGGTTGATACCGCAGCGCGCTGGACGAAGATTCGGTAGTCGCTGCTGCTGCTGCCACACCAATGCGCGGCTCAGCTGCCACAGGCTTGGCATCAACGACGGCGGCCACCGGTGGTGGCGGAGGTTTCTACGTGCAGCAATGTGATTAGCATCGATCCCGCCGTGCTAGCAATCGTACGTCGAAAGTCGTCCGAGAGGACTTGGACGGTCCAGCGTCCGACTTCAACGGCACCTGCGACGCCGTTCGTCCACTGATTTCGGGCTTTGCAAGTCCCGCCGTCGGGCGGTACGAGCTGGCATACGAGTTGACTTTAGGCTTGCTAAGGCGGTCGATGGCTGCCTGGGACATGCCCCGTGCGGCGCCCGAGGCCGCGGGCTTGGTGGTGGCAGAGGCGCGGCTGGTCGTCGCCATCTCTACACGGCGGCTCTGCAGGTACTCTGCCAGCTTCTCACGGCGCGAAGTCCTTGATGATTCGGACGCTGCCGACGACGCGCCGGTCGCTGCGCCATGCTTGGCGCTGGTCAACTTCAGGGAGAAGCGGTCGGACATCGCGCTCGTCAAGCTTTGGCCGACAGATTTCAAATTTTAAACGGCGTCCGGATAACCGAACGGCTTCTTAACCGGTCCAAAGCCCGGTTCATCGAACCGGGCACCTCTTCCGGCCGGCTTTTCTCCGGGAACAGAGCATGAAATAGTGTATGATGACGCCGGCGTCGTCATCGTCAAGGTGATCGCTGCTCCTTCGGGTACTCGGTGCCTCCGCCATAAGTCCAGACCCCGACGTCCGCCACGCACATGGCCTTGATGTTACAGTACTCAGTACTGATGTCCAGAGGGTAGAGGCAGGCACGCTGGGCACCGCAGCTTTTGCGGTCGAGAATGAAGAAGCCACTGATCTCGTATGGTCTGAGCTTTGCCCCATCACACGTTGCGCATACAGAGAAGGCCAACCTTGGAGTGACCCAAGGTTGCAAGCCAAGGTGGTAGAGAAAGACGGGGGTGGAGAGTGGCACGACGCGCGTGTACCGATGACGAATCGCTGGGGGCGCGACCTTGATTACTACTGAAACGAGGTCGGACCAGCTTACTGTATGAGCGATCCGGGCGACGTGAGCTGGCGACGTGTACGCAACAGGCAGATCCTCCTCGGCAGCGCTCGTACTTCAAGCGCTGGCTCTTCGATCAACCGCCCGGAGCTTTGCCAGACCAACTCGCACGCCCCACGGACTACTAGTACGGAAGGACGCAGTGACAGCCTCCTGGAATGTACGCCGCCGAAAATTCGATCGCTGTTGAGCAGGAGCATATACGATTTTTAACTTAGAGAAACTAGGACAAACTAACGCGGGTGCAAGGGTCACGGCTTCATGAGCAAGCATTCGTAGAGCATGTCGTCGGTCGACTGTGGCGAGACACGGTAGTCGCTGACCTTGTTGTTGTGGTAGCTTGGCTCGGCCACATACTGGGTCGGAAGCATCTCGAGGTACTCGAACTCGAGGAGGAGGTCCTGCTTGGTCACGCGCTTCTGCTGCTTGAGCGGGATTGGTTCGACGCGCGCATGGTGCATGGTCGTCGTTTCGTCAAAGGACCGCTTGGCGCCCCGGTTGTCCTTGTAGATCGCTTCGACCATGCTCGTGAGGTGCGAGATGTTGCCCGTGAGCGCCGCGACCTGCGTCTGGAGCTCGACGACCTGTTGGCGGAGGTCATCGACTTCGTCGCGGTCGGGCAGCGGGTCGCAGTCGCTGTAGTTGGTTTTGCGCTTGATCTTGGCCATCAAGTGCGGCTTGCCGCGAATGAAGAGCTCGTGGTAAAACTCCCACGAGTTCTTGGCATCGTCCGTCTCCATCGCGACAAGGAGCACCTCTTTCTTGGACTTGCGGAAGCCGTAAAAGTTGAGCTGGCGCACAAAGCTCGAAAAGTTGTTGTGCTTGAAGTACTTGGGCAGCACGACGGACGCAAATGCCTTGGGGTCCGTAATGACAAAGCTCTTGCCGTCGACGCACCAGCCCGCGACGCCGTGCGCCGCCGTGTCGATCATATCGTACGTCTTCTTGAGGAAGATGGCCGCGTTGCACGTCCCCTTCATACTTAGTAGCTCGGTGGAAATTCAAGAATGACCCGCGGCAGCCGACCCCCTCGCTGATTATCAATAGCACGCCGTTGTAAACTGCAAGATCGGTCTCGGCCAATCAGCGTCGCTTGAAACGCATACGCCCACATGATTGGTCGTCACCCATGCAGTGTTTGGTAGCAAGTGCGCCAGATGGTCTGTACGTGTTTGGTATCGAAATCCAGGCCTGCGGCTTTGCTTACAAAACCCAAGTACAATAAGAACTGACAGGCCCCTCTCTAAGGACGAGTATGGTATACTGGGGACGCGTCAAGCTACAAACGACCTCGCCATCCCACGTTATGTCACGCGAGCTGGACGACAGCGTCGTGCGCATCGAGGGCATCCCCACAGCGCGTGCTCGGCGGGGCGTGCAAGCCCATGGCATTTTCATCCATGATTGCAAGCGCAAGGAAGTAGCAATCCCACCTTCGAAATAGATCAAGCGCCGAGTGTCTCTTGCAGTACGACGACGACGTGCATATAATTGCGCATCAACAACATCGTGCGCGCAAGGACACGAAGCGGGGCCGTCGCCACCCGAAATCGCCCGATGCCGCAGTGATGACAACACTTTGCCATTGGTAAACACGTGATGAGACTGGTCGCCATGTTCAAGCATGCGGCTGCTCTCTCGTGTGTTTGCGGACAAAAGAAACTAACCGCATCGCCTCATCGTAGTGCGTGGACCTTGTTGTCGCGTCCGCAGCTTCAAGAATCTTGCGTTGTTGACTACGACTTGTACTACTGCTTAGTATATGACTAGTGCCACTGCGATCGTATCGCTCGAAACCACTCGGATCTCCTTCGTCCTAAACTAAAATCCAGTTTTCCGAGCGTTGAAATACGCATGGGATGCTCAGTGTCATGGCTCCATTTGGCTTGCTCGTTGAGAATGCAATTGGGAACATCATTTTGGATGCGGAGTGATGGTCAATGGTTCTGAGCCTGGATCTTATGTGGGTGCGTGTGGACCAACTGGCTCAACGCGTTGAGTTGGTGCACGCTGCAAGCGAACACGATCGAAGCGGTCCGAGTCTGTACGTGAGCTTACTGCAAGAAGCACTGCAGTTCACTATACACTGTCTCGGGGGTGGTTTCGAGGTGATCACAGCACCGTTGCTGTGACTTGACCACGCAGAGCATTTTGATAGGCTCATGACAGACCAGTCACCGACACCATGGACACGATCAGGACTGTAGTACAGGGTATGCGCTCGGAAGCGCCGACTTCTTAGGAAGGAGCGACGAGCCTTTTTCCGCAGCTCCACGTTGCAAGTAGTAAGCACTTTGTTTACTAGGCAAGTGCGCATCGTTTTCTCAGTCGCTGCTTCAACGCGATGTGCAGAAGCAAGCTCGGCCTGCATGTCACGCGAGAGGTTTGTTGCCCCTTAGAGGTTGGCCAGACACACCGACAGTCTCGTTTTTATTGTGCTTCCACAAAACTGTTTGGCCTGGAACTCGGTTTTCACTCACTCTTGTCTTCACGGAATGTGGTGATATATTTGAATTCGTAACGACAGTCGCAAGGAATTACACCAGTGCAGCCAAAACTTGATGGACACGGCATTTGGAAGGATGATTCTACATGCATCTGACGTGGCACCACGACAGCGCCAGATTCGGAACCATCACTCACACGAGAGTAGAGTCCAACACAGAGTGCATGCTCGGCTCCAGCACCAACGGACTTTTCTTGCGTCGGTCGTCGATTCGAACTCGTCCGAGACCCTTGAGAATCCGATGCCACGCTTCTTCTTCCAGCTCTCACCTTCTTTCATCGCACTCGTATGATCGCTAGTAAGTTTACACTGCTTTAAGAATACGCTCGGAGCTCGGTGTCCTGAGGCGAGAAGAACCGGCCCAATCGCAGAACTTGTATACAATAATCAAGCGACAAACCTAATCACTCGAGCATGAGTCCGAGGCAAGAACAGTTGTCCTCGCTCATGCGCTGAATGGTATCGTGCAATCCTGTCCAAGGAGTTTGGGCGCGTGGAGTCCACCACACAGGCAGCGCCACGTCGGAACCTTGTCTCGCCCAGTGTATACCTTTCGACGTGAGCGTATACATAATCCTAGTTGATTTATCCAGCTTGAAGTGGCCGCATTACAGCCGAGTATCTTGGCCCTTGTATACCGATACAACGTGGCAGAAGCCAATACAAAGCCCAAGGTAAACGCCAGTATACTAACCCCAAGTACAACTACAAACCGGCGTGGGACACGCGGGTCACTCTCCGAGCTTTGAACGCGTGCGTGTCCAATTTTAGCCAATCGCAGCATGCGGCTCGTTTTGGCGCGCAGCGATTGCTCGAAAAAGGACCCGCCGTTTCCTACGCGCTTGATGGGGGTGCATAATCGCCACCGTCGTTATCGTTCCAGCAAGAAGAGCCGCATTTTGGAATTAACCTCTTGAAACAAGCATGATCAAATCGTCGACGGCCGCGATCTTCCTCAAGAAGACCTTCGACATGGTCTCGCAGTCGCCGACCGAGATTGCGGCGTGGGCGCCGGACGGCGCGACCTTTGTCGTCAAGGACCCCAAGGAGTTTGCGTCGCTCATGCTGCCCAAGTACTTCAAGCACAGCAACTTTTCGAGCTTTGTGCGCCAGCTCAACTTTTACGGCTTCCGCAAGTCCAAGAAAGAGGTGCTCCTTGTTGCGCTCGAGTCGTCCGACATTAAGAATTCGTGGGAGTTTTACCACGAAAACTTTCACCAGCACAAGCCGCACTTGATGGCCAAGATCAAGCGCAAGACCAACAACTCGGACGACGATACGTCTTTCTCGTCGCCGCCCGCGCACCCGACGAGCCAAGTCGACGACCTCCGCCAGCAAGTCTCGGACTTGCAGTCGCAGCTCACCAAGCTCACGGGCACGCTGAGCCACCTCAGCTCGATGATCCAGACGGTCGTGGACCAAGCCCAGACGCCGGCGCCAATCGTGCTACCGCCGATGAAGAAGCAGGACAGCTTTCTGCAGGATCTCGAGTACCTCGACATGATGACGAGCAACCAAGACGAAGCCGCCACGTCCGAGTTCCAGCAGTTGCTCGCAGGACACCATTCCTCGTCCGTCCCCTCCGTCGTCATGTATTAGCTGCATTCAAAGCGTTCACTATAATATATATCTAAGATCTTATTTAAACATCTGTGTTCTTGTATGTGGGTGGGTGCATACGTGGCAGCCGCTGCAAGTAGCCAGCGTGGCAAGGCCGTGACGCAAGCCTCGTGGCCGCGGTCATGGGCCCGGCCCACGGCGGCACTTGGGCCACCGCCAAGTCCCAACTGCAAGGTGGCAGCTCCGAGAAAGTCCAACGCCGTCTACATCCTGCGCGCCAACCATCAACATCATTGACGCAGGTGACCCGGTATCCCTCGCAATTCGTTGACGTTATGCCTGTCTGTGGCCATCAACATCATCCATTGCACATGGCGCTCGCATCACGCATGCGCCCGAAGGCGGATTACGAGGCCAGCGCCACATCGCGGTCGCCTCCTCTTCAACTGCCTGGCAACTCGGCCAAAGGATGGAACGTCGCCGCTGCAGGCATACGCAGGGCTGGGGCGCGATACCCTTGCACTGGTATGTCATGGCTGCCTCGGTGTTTACCAGCATCGCGTACCCAGAGATTGCGACACGAAGGACGGACTCAAACGAGACCGGACTTCTGAATCTCAAAGGGTGAACGGCAATGTCGTCCGCCGCTGCATCAAGTGTATGCAAATTCACGCCTTGCATCATCAACATAGAGTCCCAGCTGCCCTCCGTGTGTTGCGTGAATAGTGTGGCCGGAGCAATCCGCTGCGCCTTGCGTACTTACGACCGCCAACATGATCTTCCTCGAGATAGACATGGTGGAGGGTGTGAGCCAAGGCAATGCGAACGCCAGCACAGAAGTATTGGGAGTGCCGCAAATATGGCACCCCCGAGGCAATGTATCTAACAATTCTAACAAAAACTAACACTATCAAGGAGCTCGGACGCGCCTACTGGAGGGGCGTCGAGAAGGGGAAGCCCATGGGCATGACCAGCGACGGCGAACACCGGGCGAGGCTCTCGGCCGCGTTCGCGGAAGCTGTTGAGGATGACGACGGCGCCGCATTGGGGACCTTGGGGAACGCTTCGAGCAGGTCTTGCATCGACGTCGCAGTTTCGTCAAAGCTGCCAAAGTGGCGGTCGTCAAACATCATAAACTCGTCGTCCAAGTTGAGGCTGTTCTGGTGCGCGAGCGACGGCGGCGAAGGAGCCACGTCCATGAGCATCGGCTCCAACTTGACGAGGTGCTCCGAGTCGTCGTGCGCGGCCGTCTTCTGCTTCTTGGGCGACGGCGGCGCGTGTTCCGGCACGGACTCGAGCGCCCGCTTTTGCGTCTCCATGAGCGTCGAGACGACCGAGGTCAAGTTGGTAATCTGGTTGGTGAGCTGCGAGAGCTGCGACTGGAGCGACGTGACTTGGCTCTTGAGCACCTCGACTTCCTCCTTCTCGGTCGGCTCGCCGGCCTCCGAGTAGGTCTTGCGGCGGATCTGGGCCATGAGCTCCGGGTGGTGGCGCAAGAACTTGTCGTGGTAAAACTCCCACCAGTGCTTGGTCACATCGTCCTCGACGATCATAATGTCCTCCTTCTTGTACTTGCGGAAGCCGTAAAAGTTGAGCTGGCGCACGAACGAGGCAAAGTTGTTGTGCTTGAAGTACTTGGGCAGCATCGTGCGCGCAAACTCCTGCGGGTCCTTGACCACGATGGTCGTGCCGTTGTTGGCCCACGAGGCGACGCTGTCGGGCGAGTTCTCGAACATCGTGTACGTCTTCTGGAGGAAGATGGGCGCGGACGACGCCTTGGACTTGGGGGCGGACGCGGCCTTCATGGCAAAATCGGAAATGACTTGGCCTCATCGCCTCGTTGGGCCATGCGCGCTCATTGGTCAAAAAGAGACCAATCCCACCGCTATGTGCCCCAATACACCACGTGATTGGCCGAACGCCAACGCCATGTCGCAGATCACGCGAGGAGCGCGATGCTGGTGAAAATTGCACGATGCCAAACGTCAAATACCACGCGGAATTTTCACCGTGAAAAAGGCCGGTTGCCGTGGGCCGGCCTTTCCGAGCCTCACCTTAGATTCAACCATGTGGTACGAGGGTGGGTGTTCGCTTTGTCGTACCTATCTCAGAGATGAAATATAGTGTACAGTATGCATTTCAACACCTTTTTAAACACAATGATTGATATATCTAGTGTAAAAATGCAAGATTCGTACGTGTTTTCAACGCGTAGAAGGTGCTGAGAGCGGGAGAGAGACACTGATTATGCAACAGTAGGCCGGAAGTTGACGCAAGTTCAATGCGACAAGCACCGCCGATTGGAATTGGATGCAGGGCGCGCAATCACGCTGAAGGATGTGCCCGACGCGATAAAGTTCTTGAGGCCCAGACTGCGAGGCGACGTCTCGGCCGTTGAACGCTGCGCCTTCGGTAGGTCACGCGTTCAGACGGTTATAGAAGGTATGAGGCGCGTCTGGCCGTGGTTCCAGCTCCATCTGCGCAAGGGGCGGAGCGCACGAGGTGAAAAAAGTTTGGTGTGGCCAGACTCCCGGATAACTCTTTGCGGCAAGGCACATCATTTTCAGATTTGAGTTTCTGGTCGTGGCAGATGTCCCAACTGAGCCCCACCCACAATGGACGCTGGCGAGACGAGACAGACGCGGCGTGCTCGCCGCGCCACTTCCTTCTTCCAACGTTCGTTTTGGCGATTGCACTTTTGATTGGCAAATGTACCACCAGTGCAAAACCTTCTTGGCCGCGTCGATGGACTCAGTCCCGATCCTACACGTTTCGACTGGTCACTTCAATCCAATCGCACTCCCTATCACCGCCGCTAGGACTTGACGAGCATTTGCCATCGAGGCGCGAGGGTACTCGATCCTGCCAGGTTCCGGCCGCCATTCTCAAATGGGTTGTGGGCCGCTGATCCGTGGGAGGCGCCGCTCGTGGGTGACTCTAGTCGTCGTTTGGCCAGCAAGGTGTTCTCGCCAAGCACGGCCGCAATGCTACTCTTAGCAGCGTCACAACGAAGGGCAGGCCATCGAGCCATACTGGTTGAAGGGAGTATGGAATAGTCTCTCAGGGCGGATGAGATACTGCTGCAGTGTACAAGCGACGATCTTCTCCGCGCGGAGACGTGGACGGGGCAAGCCTATCGGAATGAATTCGGGTGACATGGCCGTGGGATGCCCGTGCACCGTGCACCTGAAGAGCAGCCTCGCGAGAGAATTGGAGCGAGAACCGGAGCCTCGCAGCTGGACGTTGTTGTCCAGTACATATTCCATGCTGGAGCCCAGAGCAACGTCGCGGGGCTCATTCGCCGCACAAAGGTTGCTGCGGCCAACGCCCTGCGTTCCAAAGTGAGATCACGCCTGGCCACAACCAAACGGCGAACGGCCAAACGATGGAAACGCCACTCGAGCATGCAGAGAACGGATTTGGCACCGAGGAGCTTTGATGAATGCATCGACACCACTCGGATCTCTCGTCCATCCGCCCTGAGCCGCCGCCTTGGTACTGGGCTAAGGGCTCCTGACGGTGCGCTCGCCGATCTCTGCAATGCTAGTAGGTCGGTCGTGTGCTTTGGGCCGTGTGGTTCCACGCCAGTGTCGGAGCTCAAAGTGGTACGTTCAAGGGGTCGCCAACCCGCAGCTCTCTCTGTGTTGACCTGCGTAGCACTAGTACATGGCCTTGCTCCCACTCGCATCCTCTATCTCTAGCAAACGCTCGACACAGCCGAGGCATAGCGAGCCTCTGGCGCGTTCTGGCAGAGATCGGCGCATACATTTTCACTCGTCCTCGCGCGTCAAATTCGAAAAGTGAAGCACAGAATAGCGCACAAGCTCATGGCTTCAAAGGTGGGACGGACAACTGGCCGATAACACGCGCGCGCGTTTATAAGCTGCCACGTCATTCTGCCCGCCATTGCTGGCCAATATATATTGGGCGCTCGGATTGCCTGATCAATTTGCACCGCATCATCAATGACAAGTCCCAATGCGGTACCTCATTGGTTGGTCTATAGCCAATCACAGCGCGCCGTGGTCCGCCCATACAATTTCGCAGATAAAGGTATGATTTCGTAGTTGGGCATGATCGCCTAATCAGCACAATGCGGTGCTTCCGTGGCGCTTCCATGGCCACGAGGAGAGGCCAGTTTGCATTTTGCCTTGCGTCGATCACATCATGAAGTCCCCGAAGACGACGACGGCGTCCGCGCCCATCTTTATCCAGAAGACGTACACGCTCTTCGAAGAGTCGCCGTCGAGCATCGCTGCGTGGGCCAACAACGGCACGACGATCGTCATCAAGGACCCGCAGCAGTTCGCCACCATGATGCTGCCCAAGTACTTCAAGCACAACAACTTCCTCTCGTTCGTGCGCCAGCTCAACTTTTACGGCTTCCGCAAGTACAAGAAGGAAGAAGTCGAGCTTGTCAACAACGAAAACACCAAGCACTGGTGGGAGTTCTACCACGACAAGTTCCTTCGCGCCAAGCCCGAGCTCATGGTGCAGATTCGCCGCAAGACGTACTCGGAGGGAGACGGCACCGACAAGGAGGAAGTCGAGGAGCTCAAGAACCAGGTCAACTCGCTCCAGAGCCAGTTCCACCAGCTCACGGACCAGATCTCGAGCTTGACGGCGCTCGTCTCGACGCTCATCCAGACGCAGAAGCGGCCGCGCGACGAAGACGACGTCGCTGAAGCGTCGATGAAGAAGAGCAAGCTCGCCGACACCTCGGACTTTGACGGCCTCTTTGATGTTGTCGCCGACGACAGCGCGATGCCGTCGCTCGACGACCTCTTCGCCGCCGAGGAGGACGAGTCGACGGTCGTCAACTCGGTGCTGGCGTCCTTCGACCTCCCCATGGACGCGCGCTGCGGCACGATGCTCGGCAGCGCGTGCGTCGCGGGCCCCAACGTGACGTTCTGCTGCCCCATTTAGTTAGTTTATTGTTCCCACTGCCTGTGTATCATCCGCCGACTGCGTGGATTATACTGCTTGCCTGACGCTGCTTCGTACCTTCGATCTCAAGACTACGAGGCGCCTAATGTCAACAAGATGTACAGTATCTTTTCATTCCTCGTGTCCTCTGAATCCCAGCACGAGATTCGCACGTCCTCCTTGCCTCTGGCGCCACTGTTGACAGAACATGCAGCCTCCGTGCGAGTAGCTAGGGGCACGGCCAGTACCAGCTCCTGGTTGGGACGGAAGGATCGAGGACTGAACCTGCAGCTTCTTGATCACTGTGCCCTTTCGTTCTGCCAATCAGAACTGATATGAATCTTGGCCTGCTGCCCGAGGATCGCACTGCATACATGTAGGAGCAGTGGCACAGGAGGAACGACGGCGGCTCAAAAATGTTCTAGGCGTCTGCCCCAACAACTACTAGACCAGAGCCATCGATGGCTTGCTTATGAAGCTACGCGTACTTGCGCTGATCCATGACCGTCTCATACGCTCCCTTGTAGAAATCGCCTCAGTGGGCGCATTGAAGTATTTCAAAGGTAGGCAAGAAATAGCTCCACTATGCAGCGAGACGTGCGATGGCAAGCTATGGGTTGTGGCCGTTGGGGCGGGAATAGCACGAGCGACATGGAGCGTCCCGTCGCTCGATGGTCCAATCGCGCGCGGCCAAGTGGCCTCTGGCCCTCGGAATCGGATTCGTATTTTCCCGTGTGATCACAATCACGGCGGTCGTGGATTGGTGGGTTTATAGCCAATCACGGTTGCCGCAAGATGTTGTTGTGGGACGCGCGCCGGCACATTCGCACACGCATGCCGTCGAAGCGAGTGCGCGTGAAGGCCGAGGCGGCGCCGGTGCTCGGCCCCGTCTTTCTGCAGAAAATCTTCCGGCTCTTCAGCGAGACGCCACGCCACGTCGCTCACTGGGGCCGCGACGGCCGCACGGTGCGCATCGAGGACCCACATCGGTTTGCCCTGGATGTTTTGCCCTTGTACTTCAACCACAGCAATTTTCTGAGCTTTGTGCGCCAGCTCAATTTTTACGGCTTTCGCAAGTACAAGCCCGAGGACGGGCTGAGCCACCTGCCGTCCGAGAAGGCGTCATATGCGTGGGAGTTTATCCACGACCGCTTCCAACGCAGCGCGCCAGAGCTCGTCGCGACGATCCGCCGCAACGGGCACGTTGCGCCGCCGCCAACTAGTGACGCCACGCCACAGACGCTGCCGGACCTCCAGATGCAGGTGCAGGAGCTGCAGCGGAACAGCCAAGACATGGTGGCGCGCATCTCAGCACTCACGTCGCTCCTCTCCGAGTTTGTGCGCGATCAACAGGAAACCACCGAGCCATCATTGCCTTCCAGCGACGACGATGGACCACACCACAACGACGTATATGGAATGCGTTGACACAGCGAATCAATGAGAAATTGTATGAACTAAGTGATCTTACCACCGAGCAAATAAGGACTGATTGCGCGACAATTGACGACAGGTTGATCACACTGCAGTTTGTACGACGGTATCAGCCAAACGCGTTGCGATAACTCGTTCAAACGGTGGTCAATTGTAGCGCAATCGTCGTGCACAAGTCCTACAAATGTCCAAAAAACTCACGCACAATCCGTGCGGCCATAGCAATCAGCAAATTTGCAAACTGGCGAAATTTTAGTGATGTCGGTGGATACCAAATATATCTCGATGGCGCCGCTGATTTGCGGTGACCAAAGAGTTCGCTTTGGCCTGAAAACTACCGGTGCAGGAGAATGGACAAGTCGCTGGGATATACAGGTGGTGTCGATGAAGTCGTGCACGAGATTCGGCGCCGCATACGCAGTTGGTCCGCCGCCTCGTAATCGCCTGTCGTGGCATCCGACGTGATTCGTTTGAGGCGCCGTGCCACTTTTTAAATCCAGCCCGCGGATTCGCTCCCTTTTGACCAATCCTGGCGCGCCAAAATGTGCCCATACAAATGCCAAGTGTGCGGCAGCGTTACGTCGTTCGATGTTGCCCCCGCGATGATCAAGTCATCATCCGAGCTTGCGACATGAGGTAGTTGGCCAATGGCGTTCATTCTGCCTTTTGCCCCGTTCCAAGCAGCAGCAGCCATGACATCGCCGATCGCCGCCCAGTTCATCCAGAAGGCCCACGCGCTCTTCTGCGACGCGCCGACGCACATTGCGCAGTGGGCGCACGAGGGCACGACGCTCTTGATCCACGACCCGCACCTCTTCGCCCACGACGTCTTGCCCAAGTACTTCAAGCACAACAACTTTCTCTCGTTCGTGCGCCAGCTCAACTTTTATGGCTTCCGCAAGTTCAAGAGCAAGTTTGCGACGCGCTTGTCGTGGGAGTTCCACCACGACCTCTTCTTGCGTGACCAGCCCGAGCTCCTGTGCCAAATCAAGCGCAAGGCGCACCTCGAACTCGTCGAGAAGGAAAACCCGGTCGAGGACCTCCGCCACGAGATTTCGGTCATGCAAACCCAGTTTGATGCGCTCACGCAGCAGGTGAAGCAACTCACGTCGGCGGTCGCGTCTCTCGCACGGGCGCAGTCGTCGGAAGCGCCATTGCCCGAAGCGCCAACGCCCGTAGCGCCGCCGGCCGCACCGAAGAAGCGCAAGCGCGTCGACGACGAAGAAGCTGGCTGGGCGCCGCTGGACATTGACGGCAAGAGCGACAGCTTCTCTGCGGACGAGATGGACATGGTTGAGGACGTCCTTGACGCACTGGAGCGGCCGACGGTCATGCCGCCGTGGAAGCCGCTCACGTGGATGTGCATCCGTCGCCGCCGAGTCGCCTAAGCGCATCCCATACCATAATTTAATCGACCCAATCTTATTTTAGCTTATTGCACTCTGTTGCCAAGACTTGCTACCGTGCCTTGTCGTGCTCATGGAAGCGCAGCACAGCGTGTATGCTAGGGACGAAGCATGTCACGCGCACGACGACCTTTGTGGAGATACACCTGGCATCTTTGGCGCGTGGCTTTTGCCTGATGATGGCAGAGTCACCACGGAGTACAGCCCATTCCAAGCTTCTTTGACACTTGGCGCGACGTGGGGCGTCGTCGGTCTTTTCTAGCGTGCCACGTGAGGCTTGATCAGTTGGCGGTGCCAGACGGACGGATCTACGGCATTGGTTCCTGAACTCGAGGTGGAGCTCGCTCTGTTCGAGCAGCACACGTCGCCAAGTGCTTAGCTCGACGCATATATGCAGCACTGGATTCATGCCAACGGGTCCAAGTACCGCTAATCGAGGCAGCTGCGGGCGCTTCCTCAGCGGCGACATCCTTTTCTTCTATGTCGACGCGGCCACGTCAAAGGGCACTTGTCGACGCAACACGGCGGCGAGCCGTTGCCCAGTTCCCGCGATTACCCGAGACCCGACACGGCGCAACTCTTATCAAATCATCTGCGACAGGCCGGAGACGCCGCCTCGCATTGGCTGCTTTGCGCCAATCCAAGGGCGCGATCTCGCCCATACAAACCGCAAGGTATCTAGTGGCATCGGTCCACCGTGGCGGGTGCGTTTGCTTCGACACGCATCATTTGCGATTTCCGCGGCCATCGCCGATGACTCAACGCGCCTCGTCCTCCTTCTTGTCGCCGACGCGCAAGTCGTCGAAGCGCGCGACGGCGCCGCAGTTTATTCAAAAGACCCACGCGCTCTTCTGTCACGCGCCTGCTCACATTGCCCAGTGGCACAACGACGGCACGACAATCTTGGTCCACGACCCGTACGCGTTCTCGCGGGACGTGTTGCCGCGCTATTTCAAGCACCGGAATTTCCTCTCGTTCGTGCGGCAGCTCAATTTTTACGGCTTCCACAAGTACAAGGTCGAGGACGCCGAAGCGTTTACGTGGGAGTTTCAGCACGAACACTTTCTGCGCGACGCGCCCGAGCGCATGCACGCGATTCGGCGCAATACGCCGCCGCCACCGGCATCGCCCAATGACGTGGCCGACGTGGCCGAGCCCGAGCTGAGCCCGGTCGCGACGCTCCGACAAAACCTTCAGGCCGTCCAAGCCCACTTTGACCGCCTCTCGGGCCAAGTGGCACAGCTTAGCGAGTGCGTGGCAGAGCTCGTCCGAGAGTACGACGAGGAGGACCTGCGCGCGCAGGTAAATAGTGTACACGTGGTGCAGGCGCAGCCACCACTGCGTATTCGCAACGTCGAGTTTACGGCGCAGGACTTGGCCATGGTGGACGATGTCCTTGCCATCTTGTCGTTGTGAATTGAGCCCACCAGCCACCCGTAAAATAGCTTTGCTGTAAAGTATTTAAGGCAGCAGTTTGCATGCCCCATGCGTCTAGATCAGCCGCGAATCAACTCGAAGCCGGTGGTAAACATGGAGCTTATAGATCTTCAAATCATTCTGGGGGCGCCACGTCATTTTGCGTTCCGGGTGTGATGAGGCAAACTGATGGTGCGCGATATCAAGGATGGAACGAACTTCTGTGCGCTCGCAGGTCGTCGTAATCAGGCCCGGGACAAGTTGGAAGAGTTATCCAACGCGATTTCATTGGTTCCTTTTGGACCAATCCTGCGCATGCTGGTCGCGTCCATACTGAATTCGAGTGAAGCTCGGATTACGCCATCAATGGCCGATTTCGTGCGCAGGTTTCGTACATGATCACATCACCGCGATCTTCCGAGGTCCAAAGACCTTGTCGGAAGCCCTCACTTTTCCATTCTCTCTATACCGACAACACAACATGATCTCACCGAAGCGCAAGTCTGCGGCCCTCTCAAGCACCCAAGTTGCACCGCAGTTCATCCAGAAGACGTACGCGCTCATGACCGACGCGCCCGCCCACATCGCGCAGTGGTCCAACCACGGGTCGACGATCCTCATCCACGACCCGTACGCGTTCTCGCGGGACCTTCTGCCGCAGTACTTTCGCCACAGCAACTTTCTGAGCTTTGTGCGGCAGCTCAACTTTTACGGCTTTCGCAAGTGCAAGCGCGACGACCCGACAAGCCTGGCGTGGGAGTTTGAGCACGAAGCCTTCTTGCAGGACGAGCCTGAGCTCATGCACACCATCCGCCGCCACAACCAGCCGACAACCGACGTGCCCGACCAATACACCGAACCCGAACCCGAAACGACGCCCGTCGCCGAGCTCCGCGAGCGTATTTCGACGGTGCAAACCAACTTTGAGCTCCTTACGCAGCAGCTGACGCAGTTGACCGCAGTCATTTCAACGCTGGTCGTGTCAAGAAAGCGACCTGCCGAGTCGGACAGTGCCGACGCCAAGCGCTTGTGCGTCGATACTGATGCGGACGATATGGAGCCCCTCCACTGGGGTCGGCATTCGGCAGCCTTATCGGTTGAAGACTTGGCCATGGTGGACGACGTGCTCGATATTTTGTCGCAGGCGCCTGTGAACCCGCCGTTGGACACTGCGATCGAGGTATAAACACAACTAATAGTATAATATAATTAAAGGAATGATTCGGACTGTGATCTTCGTGATAACTGGTGCAGCAGCACCCTATCGTCCAGCATTTTGACGTATACTTTGAAACGAAGCTTCTTTCGACTTTGAGCAAAGCTTTATACATGCAACTTTAGTCCAGCAGAGACACACTAATCATTATCAAATGATACTACTCGACAGTCTTCTGCCAGCGGCGTTTACTGCAGCGACGATTAGTAGTAGACGGTGGGATTGATGCCATTTTGTCTTCGTCCGAACGATACGTGTGGCTGAAACGCAATCTGCGACACGCACAGTTAAATAAGACGCATTGGATTGGCTTATAGGATCTCCAGTAGCCAATCAATGACATTTGCATGTCGAATGATGGTCTTAGACTCATCATCGGCATCTAATCACGGTCCAAACATTCCAAATAATCACGGTCCAAACATTCCAAATAATCAGTCCAAGGGGCTTTGTCCACAATCTCCCGGCGTCGTCATAACTCAATATTTCAACGCAGGCGGACATGGCCCGAGCACCACCTCTCTTCATCCGAAAGACCTTCATCCTCTTCTCCGGCGCCCCGAGAGAGCTCGCAGAGTGGGCAAGGAACGGGACAACGATCTTGATCCATGACTCCCACGTCTTTGCGCGCGAGCTCCTCCCGCGCCACTTCAAGCACAACAACTTTCTCTCGTTCGTGCGGCAGCTCAACTTTTACGGCTTCCACAAGTGCAAGCGCGACGACGGCAGCGGCGTCATCTGGGAGTTCCAGCACGATGCGTTCGTACAACACAAGCCAGAGCTCATGCGGACCATCCAGCGCCACCAAGCAGCACCCGTGGTGGTAGCAAGCCCAACTAAGCCGTCACCGCCGGACGAGACTGCGATGGTTGCGCTACGTCGGCAGATCCAGGCTGTCCAGACCCAATTTGACCAAGCGGCGCGCCAAATCTCAGAGCTCTCGCAGGTCATTGCCAGCCTCGACGAGCCACACAAGACCTCCTTTCCCGGTGGGGCCCAAGGAGAAGGTAGCGAAGCTCCCTTTACGTTGCTGGACAGAGCCGATCTCGAACCGTTTGATGTCGGGCGAGCTGTGGTCAGCGTTTTGACGGTCGAGGACTATAGCATGGTTGACGACGTACTCGATATTTTGTCATGGTCAAGGGTCAATGCGACAGACTACAGCGAAATTATAACCTGTTGAATATGTTCTTATTGCTCTTATTGTTGTTCCCGCAGACCCTCGACGTGGAAACGGCTTGCCCCATCTCATGACAAGGGGCTCACATTCTATCTTCAACAACCTCGAGCTAGTGCGCAAGTGCGCTCACAGTGTACCAGTACCGCAAAATGTATTTTCCACCGTGCACTATCGACGCGCTATCAGCTTGAACACACCCAACGGTGTGACGTGCTTGAGGTTTCCCGTTCACCTCGTGACGCGAATAAACAACGTCCGTGATAGCGATATCAGCCGAGGACCCTGTTGGGAATCTGTTAGGGCAACGTTGCGACCGCTACTATCAGTGCATCGACTGGACAAGGAGCGCCGAGGAGCGATCACTCATCCCTCTATTCGATTCGAGCCCTTGGCGCGATATCTCTCGCGGTGTTGGCAGTCCCAACAGCGCCTAAATCCGGTACTAATCATGATTAGTCACTGGAGACGAGTACAAACCGCCAAGAGTTCTTTTCATAGTTTGGGGTTAGTAGAGGTCTGTGACGACGCTCTTATCTCAAGCGATCATGGAGACAAGGCTGGCATGTCGACGGTTGACCGAAATGACAAGTTGTGTCGCGGGGATGACGTTGTGCGCGAGGTGTGTCCTGGGAAAAATGCGGCTTGCGACACTCGCTGAATCACCGTTGCGCGCATCTGATTGGCTTTTGCCATTGGCCAATCATTGACGCCATGTCATTTCCTTACAAACTTCAAGGCAACGAACTGAATCGACGGCCGACGACGTGGCGGCCCCAAAAAACAGGTGCATCGGCCGGAGGGACGTGAGTAGCTTTGCCAATCAAATACGGGCCGGTGCAGTCTACGGTCATTCTTCAATTGTCTCTGCGTCACACAAATATGCTCTCGCCTTCATCGCCAACGTGCCTCGAGCTCTCGATCGCCCCCTTCCTCCACACGACGTTTGCACTCTTTTGCCAAGCGCCGGTGACGATTGCCCATTGGACGCACGAGGGGACCGCGGTGGTGATCCACGACCTCCACCGCTTCGCCCACGAGGTGCTGCCGCAGTACTTTGGCCACTGCAACCTCGTGCTCTTCGTGCGCCAGCTCCACACATTTGGCTTCCGCAACTTCAAGAGCGCGTCGGGCGACTGGGAGTTTTGCCACACGCACTTTGTGCTCGAGCAGCCCGAACGCCTCCGCTACGTTCAGCGAGCCGACGACGACGACCATAGCCCGACGTCGCTCCAGATCGAGATGAATGAGATCGGGGACCAGGTCTCGCACCTCACCGCGCTCGTCTCGCACCTGACCCAAGAACGGCGGTGCTGCCTCTCGGCCCAAGCGAGTGCCGACGACGCCGACCTCCTCGACGAAGTGTTTGAGATCCTCGAGCTGCCGCAGCAGCCCCTCACCGTGGTGCCGAGCGGCGGCTGGGATTACTAACCAAACATCTATAATACACTAACTTATCTCTCTGTGCTCAAGTGCCCTCACAAAGCGCGATCTAGTCAAAACGGCGTTACTAAACATCAAGTTGCGATCTGCGCTCGTGATTGGTTGTTTGCGAGACCACAGGCCCGAGAGTAGGGTCATCACCGCACTTGTGGTGGAGCAGCGCCGCCCATTTCGTCCCAGCACAGCCCACGTGGTGCCCGCTTGTATAGTAACCACTTCTTTCGTTGGCGAGTTTGGCAGCGGAATAAGCCTCGAACGTTGATATAGCGTCGTCTGTCGCAGCACAATTTGCATGTTGAGCACCGGCCGTATCCTGCCGCCATAGCTTGGCTGGTGCTGCGAGCTTGTTCCTAGCGTTAGCATCGAGGTTCGCTCTGGAGGCCTCGCTGGCTTCACGGGTGCGAGATCGGTTTATGGCGAGTCAGTCCGCAGTATTAACGATAACGATAGAACAATAATGATAGCTAACCAATAAATCGCCCTCCCATATGCGCAATGGAGGCGCCTCAAGGAGCTGCCCAAGCATGCGTGCAGCCGCATGATCGATACACTGTAGCCAGCGGTGACAGCCACCATCAACGCCAAGGATCGCTGCAGGCTGTGGGAGAAAGTGCGACTCAAGGCGCGCATTCGTACTACGTCTTATTGCAACTGCACTCTCCATCGAGCCATGCTTGACCAAGTCTTTCTCAGGGAGGTTGAGCGCTGGTACCCCTTGAAGCTGCGTGTTTTTAGCGCTTGGTTTTGTCCTCGTTTTTGTCCTGTTTGGACTTCGTCGCTGCCATTGGCCAAAAAGGTTTTTCGGTGGCTCCTTTTTGTCCAATCGCAGAGGAACAAGTGACCTATACAATCTGCAAGATAACGAACTTCGAGAAAACGAACGACCAACATTTGCACACCTTTGGCCGAAATGACCAAGCCAACACCGACAAAGCCAGCGCCAGCCAAGGCCGCGCCCGTGTTCCTCCAGAAGACGTACGCGCTCTTCGACGAGGCGCCGGCGGCGGTCGCGTCGTGGGCCCACGAAGGCCGGACCGTCGTCGTCAAGGACCCGCAGGAGTTTGCGCGGACGATCCTGCCGCAGTATTTCAAGCACAGCAACTTTGCCTCGTTCGTGCGCCAGCTCAACTTTTACGGCTTCCGCAAGTACAAGCGCGACGAAATGCTCTTTGGCGACTCGTACGCGACCGTCGCCGAGACGGGGATGCAGTACTGGTGGGAGTTTTACCACCCCAAGTTTGTCCGGGCGGCGCCGCAGCTCATGAGCACCATCCGCCGCAAGACGTACTCGGAGGCGCCGCCTGCGTCCGCGTCCTGCGAGACCGACGACATGGGCGCGCTCAAGGAGCAGGTGTCTACCTTGCAGACCCAGTACCACCAGCTCTCGTCGCAGCTTTCGAACCTCGAGATGCTCGTCAAGACGTTGATTATGACGCACAAGCGCGCGCCGCCGACCGAAGCCATCGAAAGCGTCAAGAAGTCCAAATCCGAAGAGACGCAGGATATGGAGAGCCTATGTGAGACCAGCGACGACGCACAGTCGCCCGAGTCGTCGTCGTTCGCGCTCTCGCTGCCCGGCAGCCCCTTGCACTTTTGCGACGTGCCCATTGACGACCACTTTTTGTGGCCCGACGAGCTCGTGCCAGCCGGGAACGACCCGAACATGTTCTCTGGCATCGACGAAATCATCTTTGGCGAGCATGAGCCTCCCAAGTTGCCGTCGCCGCCACGTTGCTCGATGCAAGCCGACCGCCCGCTCATGTTCCGCTTCACGCTTCCAGCATTGAAGTGAAGCAGCAAGTTTCTCTATCTACTCTACGTACATTAACTACATATTTACAGCTCCTTTCCCTAATATATCCTCCATGCCAGTATCAACTGTCCTGGCCTGTACCTGCCACAATGGTCGTCGTAGCACGAGCCACTCTGCGAAGCAGCGCGAGGTGCTGGTATCACGGCGATGGCCTTGAAAGGGCTTTGCAGCTGTTTGAGCCTTAGAGAGCCGCTGACGAAGCCTCCTGCACAGCTGCCAGAAATCACGGCCGACCGGAAGGACGCAACAAACCTACGCTCGGCATGCAATTTGCGGTGTTTGTATGGCGAAGAAGGCCCCTACGTCGATAAGCTCTTATAGCACTTCATCATGGCTGTCCGCCTTGGCAGCTTTTGGCGCCTCGTTGACCGAGCCTCGCTTCGATATTCCGGATAATGTATCGTATCCGGTAGGCATTTGCCGCGAAACTCCATTTGGCAGGATGGCGTCGTCGTGGGAAGATGGGGCGTCGATCTTGCGCCGACCTGTAGACGCCGGGGCCCGGAAGCGGCCCGCGCCGGGTGCATCGAGCGACTTTATGGGCCTTGGCGATGACGGAGAGCCTCCAGCCGGAGGTGCGCCCGAGGAGCCTGCGCCGGAGGCCAAGCCGCGAAAGAAGCGCAACATCTTCTCGGAGCAGCATTTGCTAAGCGACCGAGGTTTCCGCGCAGTCTACAACTCGTTCCCGGGCCACTTCAACACGGCCATTCCGGAAGGCCAAGAAGCGTTGGCGCTGCGCGATCTCATGACGTGCTACAAGGAGTGGGCGTTCGAGTTGTTTCCGGCCCTGCGCTTTGAGGACTTTGTCGACCGCACCGAAGCGATTGCCAAGAAGGCCGCGGTATGCACTAGCGCAGTGTCATCGTGTGTCTCATGCTGAGGGATAGGTGGGCGAGCTTCTCCAAGAACTGCGGTCGAAGGAAGCCAAGCGCGGCGAGCCCGAGCCCGACTTTGCCGAGATCGTGAATTCCACAGCATCGACGCGCGATAGCAGCAGCGCGAGCTATGCCCCGCGCGATAGCAGCAGCTCTAGCCAAGCCCTGCCGCGTGACGCTCCGCGCAGCGACTCGTTCGACGATGCGCTCACGGCAGAGCAGGATATGGAAGCGCTCCTCGAGTACGAGGCCATGCTCGCGTCCACGCGCGACGACGCCCGCAAGGTGCCAGCCCAGGAGCCATCCAACGACAAGTCGAGCGATGAGGAAGAATTCCAAGCGCCGTCTCTCAAGGCTGCGCCGAGATCGGCCGAGCCCAGTGACAACGTGACCGAGGCCGAGTCGCCGCCTCTCTCGACGGTTGCCGAGAAGCCAGATGACACTGCCGACGAGCCTCGTGACGCTACCGACGAGCCTGCGGACGAGGTCGACGATGCGCCTGCTGATGAGGTCGACGACGATCCTGCTGTTGACGCCGAGGAAGCGCCGTCGCAAGCCGCTGTCGAGCCTGCGTCGCAGATGGAGGAGCCTGCCTCCCAGGCCATCGACGAGGACTACGAGCTCCCGAGCGACGAAGAAGCCGGCGACGTCATGGAGTACGAAGCGCGGACGTCGATTTTGCGGGACATGGTGGAGACGACGGAGACGCGACGACCGCGGACGTCCAAGGCGCTCGACGAAGCCGCGACGCTGCTCGAAGAGGAGTCGGACAGCGACGCCGAGCTCGACTTTCCGGCGACGCGCTTTGGTACTGCGTCGCAGGTGCCACCGACGCAAGGAGACGACGACGATGAGACCCAAGTCATATGAGATTAACGACGGCCGCCCAATCGATTCGTATACGCAAGTCTACTGTGCATGTGTCTATTTACTTCAGTCGTCGCGAGCGGCGACGGACGTGCGAGCACGGGCGCTTGCCGTGGTTGGCCTAGCATCTGCGTGAGCCTGGGCATGCAGCGACGAGAGATGTACCTTCTTGGGCTTGCGCGAGTTTCTACCTACGAGTTGCATGCCAGGGAGGGGCTCCGAGGACAGGCGCATGTTCTCCAGCACCGCGTCCAAGGCGTCGTAGGGGTTGAAGAGGATCGGCGGGCGCGTGAGCGTCGACGGGGCCTGCGCAAAGCCCGACGGGACCTGCGAGAACGTCGAGAGGAAGGCTAGTGCACACATATGAGACGTCTACTTGCGCCTAGCGCCGCATGAGGTACCCGGCTTGGGGACGGACACGGCGCGGACCGCGCGGGCGAGGACGTGGTGCATGGGCGCCGATGGGATTTTCGCAACTGTGTCGTGGTTGGTTGCAATTGCCTCGTACGTCAAGGCGCGCGTCTTTTAATTCCGCCCGATACAAATATCAAGTCATATAATACAGGACGCCCGAAATGAAAATATTCTTTTTATTGCATACTCAAACCAAGCTATTATTCTGGAATAAAATAATCAGACACACCATTTAACGGCTAGAAAGGTCAGATAATGGCCGGAACTACCTTCCGCGACGTGACGTAGAAGAGGTAGCATGTGCCAGATAACCTCGAGTGACCAGTACTACAACCTCCGCAGTTAGCTACAACCTCCGCAGTTAGCTTCAGTTGATCCTAGTACTGTGAAGGACAGAGGTTGATGGCAGTAGGCTCTGGCTTGAATGTTGGAGCCATTTTGAGCAATGATCTGACCATTTAGCATGCTAAAGTACGCAATACAAATCCCAAGAGTTTTTTAACCTGTGAAAATACATATGAAAGCCCAGAGGTTTCGGATTGTGTGGAAATCTAACCGAGCGCTCCGACCGCAAGATGACCGCGGCCCTCGTGGAGATGGACGACGTCCGCGCCTTCCTTCAGGTAGATGCTGTCGTCATGAGCATGGGCTGTCCGATGCCATGTTTGTATGGTGCCAGGCTCATGGCTGCATGGTAGACGGAAGCTGCGCTGGAAGCCGAGTTTGAGGACAGTTTGGCCCGCAGCCCGTACTCGGTCGAAACATGGACGTCGTACCTCAACTTGACCGCGAACGAGGTCGACGCGACGACGCACAAGCTGCCGGAGCGTCGCATCAAGCTCTTTCGCCGGGCGCTCGCGCTCGTGCCGTTGAGCTACAAGCTCTGGAAGCGGTTCATCGACGAGACGCACCAGTTGATCCGCGGCCTGCGCATCGACGCGCCCGAGTACAACGACCTTCGCCAGCTCTACGAAGACGCACTTGTCCACTTGCACAAGATGCCCCGCATCTGGCTCAACTACACGGCGCTACTGCGTACGTTGCGCCTTGGCACGGCCACGCGCCGTGTTTTTGACCGCGCGCTCCGTGCGCTGCCTATCACACAGCACAAGCGCATCTGGAGCCCGTACCTCGAGTTTGTGCACGAGCAAGGTGTGCACCAGACCGCGATCTCGGTCTACCGGCGCTACCTCATGCTCGAGCCGACGGGCCGCGAGGCGTACGTGCGCTACCTCCAGTCCATCGAGCAGTATGTACAGCTACGCATGTCTCTCTTGCTATCGCCTTTCTACTCTAGGTACGAAGAAGCGAGCGTTCAACTCGTCCAGCTCATCAACGACGACCAAGAAAGCACGAAGGCGTCGCGCCACGACCTGTGGATGCTGCTGTGCACGATGGTGTCGCAGCACCCAGAGCAGGTCTCGTCCAGCCTGCACATCGACCGCATCCTCCGCAGCGGCCTCTCGCTCTTCACGGACGAGGTTGGGCGGCTCTGGTGTGCGCTTGCGACGTACTACATCCGCCTTGGCATGTTCGAGTCGGCGCGCGACATTTACGAAGAAGCGCTCCTCGCGGTCCTCACGGTGCGCGACTTTAGCGTCATTTTCGACGCGTACGTCAAGTTCATCGAAGCCATGATCGCGTCCGAGATGAGCGAGACTGCGAGCTCTTCCGCCGAGGTCGACCGCCTCTTGCAGCTCTACGAAGACCTCGCCGAGCGCCGGCCCAAGCTCGTGAACGCGGTCCTGCTGCGGCAAAACCCGCACTCGGTCAAGGAGTGGACCAAGCGCGTCGGTCTCATGCAAGACCCGATCGCGGTCGTTCATACGTACACGGAGGCGCTCACGACGATCGATCCGGGCCAAGCGACCAAGGTCAGCAGCCTCTGGATCGCCTTCGCCGCGTTCTACGAGACCCACGGCGACGCTGCCAACGCGCGCAAGATCTTTGCCAAAGCGCTGAGCGAAGGCAAGCTGAAGGCTGCGGACGAGTACGCGGCGATCGTCTGCGCGCACGCCGAGATGGAGCTCCGTCTCGAGGAGTTCGATCTGGCGCTCGACATTGTTCGCGCGGGCTGCGGCAGCTACCGCAAGTCGATGAAGCTCTGGGCGCTGCGTCTCGACTTGGAGGAGAGCCTTGGCGACGTGCGCAGCACAAAAGCAGCGTACGACCGGACGTTTGAGCTCAAGATTGTGACGCCGGCCTTGGTGCTGCAGTACACGGCGTACCTGCAAGAGCACGAGTTCTTTGAAGACAGCTTCCAGGTCTTTGAGCGCGCGATTGCGCTCTTTCCATTCCCGCACGTCTACGACATTTGGCTCGCGTACCTCAAGAGCTTTGTTTCGCGCTACGAAAGCCGAAAGCTCGAGCGCGCGCGCGACCTCTTCAACCAAGTGCTGGCGCTCGTACCGACGACGCCCGTGTCGACATCCAGCGACAAGGCGCTGCCGCCCGTCGACATGGCGTCCGTGCTCTACACCGAGTACGCTCGCGTCGAAGAAACGTACGGGCTCTGGCGCAACGCCCAAGCCATCTACGAACGCGCGACGAACGCACTCGAAGGGCCGTCGCAGCTGGCCATGTATTCGCTGTACGTGGCCAAGGCGCAAGCGCTCTCGGGCGTCGTGCACACGCGCAAGATTTACGAGCGCGCGATGGAGCACCTTCCAGACGCGCTCGTGTGGCAGCTCGCGCTCAAGTTTGCGTCGTTCGAGACGGCGCTCGGCGAGCTCGAGCGCGCGCGCGCCGTGTACCGCCATGCGTCGCAGTTTTGCGATCCGCGCTTGCACGAAGCGGACTTCTGGTCGGTCTGGCACGCGTTTGAGATTGGCCACGGCTCGGAAGATTCGTTCTTGGAGATGCTGCGCATCAAGCGCAGCGTGAGCACGCAGTACGCGCAGGTCAACTACATTGGCGTCAACAGCGCGGCGACAAGCCTCGGCATGGTGCCGGCGGCCACGACGGGCGACGCCATGGTCGACCTCGAGCGCACCAACGTTGACGAGGAAGAGACCGAGCCGCCGGCCAAGAAGGCCAAGACGGCCAACGCCGAAGAGATCGACTTGGACGATGACGACGAGGCGTCTGCGGTCAACGAGGAAGAAATCGACCTGGACGACATGGAGATTGAAGAGAAGAGCGTGCCCTCGGCGGTCTTTGGCGGGCGCCAGTAAATAAGAAAAATAAGATTTTTCATTTTCAGTCGTCCTTAGGTGTCGTCCATGACGTCGATCGTGCTCGTGACAAACTTGCGCATCTCGTACTTGGTCAAAATCGGCTGGCGGCAGTGCAGCTTGACCTTGTGCTTCCACTCGCCGGTCGCGAGCACGACGAAGTAGTGCGCAACGTGCGTCTTGGGCTCTTGGTACCAGCCGGTCGCGCCTTGGACTGTGCCAGGCATCGCACCGAGCACGCCGCACGCTTGCGCCTCGGTGTAGAGCGTCCTTTGAAAATGCTTTCGCCCGACGTGCCCGCGGTAGTGTCGCTGGAGGACCATGGAGGCTGCGCTCTGAAGCGGATCGACGACGTCGTTTTGGACCGTCGTCGACGCACTGTCGTCACTGCCACTGGTACTCGTGGGGCGTGTCTCGTCGCAACTTGTCGTCTCGGACGTCGCTTGCTGTGACTCGGACGTGCTCTCGGACGGTGCTGGCTTGTCACAAGGTGGCGACCTGTCGTCGCTGATGGCAGTCTCTTTCTCGATGTCACTAGGCTCGTTCTCGGCGCCTGTCGGAGGCAGTGCCGTGTCGCCTGCCGGTGGCTCGCGATTTTCATCTGGCGCTGCTGCCGTAGTGTCAACGTCGGTGCAGGAGCGGTCAGGCTCGACCACATCTGAGCCTTCGGGCGTCGACGGCTCGGAAGGCGTTAAGTCACTGGGAGCTCCGTCGATAGAGCCGGAGTCCTCTCTTGTTGGGAGCTCTACCTCGGATGCGATCGCCTCTGGTAATGTGCTTGGTGGCTCAAGAGGCATGTCGACTGTGGATAGAAACACTGGCGCTGGCTCCACCGCGCCCGCAGGCTCAGGCTCAGGCGGTGGCAGCGTTGCAGCGCCAGAATGGACCTCGGCCAAAGCCTCGGGGGTCGTCGTCGCCGCATCGTCGCAAAATACCGATGCGAGCTCTTCCGACCCACTTGATGTGGCAGCTTCTAGCTCCGAGGAATCGATGACTGGGGCGTCGGCATCACCAATATCCGACTCGACAGCCGTCTCGACGCCGGTCGTTGCAGGAAGTGATTGCTCGCCAAGGGTTGTCTCCAGAGTGCTCGATGAACCAATGTCTTCCGCAGTGTCGAGCATCGTGACTGGCGGCTCGTCTAGCGTGCTGTCGGCAACCGGCGAGTCCGAGCCGATGACAAACGTCTCGCCGGCGTACTCGTCGCTCGGACTGTCGGCGAGCAACAACTCCGGTTCTGGGAGCGCGGTTCTCTCGTCCGCATCTGGAGCGAGGTTGCCCTCGCTCACAGCCACTTCTGGGCGCTCGTGGACGATGACCTCCGTGTCTTCATTGGCATTTGCTTTTGGCTCCACTGCGCTTGCCGTGTCTTCACGGAGCTCCGTGTCTTGCAAAGCCTGGGTTTCGCCCTCGACATCTCGAGCCGTCGGTGGTGGCGCCTCGCGGCTCGGGACTTGGTTCCGCTCTTCGATCGCGACGAGTTGAATGGACTCGAGGGCGGCTTCAGTGTCGGCGACGAGCGATTCCGGTTTCGACGGCGACCGCATCGTCCGCAGGCTCGAGATGCCGACGGTGTACGGCCGGTCCGAGACCTCTTTGCGGTGTACGATCACCTGGTACCCGTCGACGTCGAGCACGACGTCCTTGCTGTGCTCGGTGGCTGTCACCACGATCCGGTCCGGGCTCAAGTACGCGTCCATAAAGGTCGGGAGCGCGTCCGACTCGTTGATCGTGACGCGGGACGCTGACCGCTTCACCGGCGTTTTGGCGCGGCCCTCGAACGCTGCTCCTGGAAGCGTCGGGTTGGAGAGACTGGGCATGATCAACGGCACAGGTTTCTTGGCCGCGACTCGCTTCTTGATGGGTTTGCCGTACTTCTTCGGTTGCTTGATTGGCCGGCCTCTCCCGCCGCGCGTCGCCTTGTACGGCAGCGCTTTATGCGTCGAGATGGACTCGAGCCGGAGTTTGTTGGCTTCGAGCATCTTGTTGACGTCGTCTTCAACGTCTTGGAAGGACGGCGGCGCGTCATGCAGGAGGCGGTCCAATAGCAGCGACTCTTCGTGGCGCTGGTACGCAAACTCTTTTTCCATGAGCACGCGCTTCTCGCGGCTCTTGCATTGCGCCAGCTGCAGCTCGCGCGAGTTCTCCGCCGTCAGAAATTGCTCAATGATCTACGTCGCTGTGCAGATACAACTTCTCGCCTCTCGACTACCTTGAGGTTCTTGTGCTGCTTGGCGCGATCGTCGAGCCGCGGAAGGCTGAGCTCGGTCGGGCCCTTCTTCCCGAGCATTTTGCGACCAACTGAGCTAGGGACAAAAATAATCCAGCGTGTAACGCGTTAGGACAGTGCAGCAAACATTGCGCACTTGACGCTGCAACTTGGTGATTGGCGCACATCTCTCACTGCACTGAGGCGAGTCGGCAACCGTGGAATAAAATGCACCAGGCTGCATTTTGCATTTTGCCACCTCGTGAGCAATGGCATGTCCCGTCAACACCCTCTTGGAGACCCACGAATGCGTTGTGCAGCAGCACCGTATGCGGCTGCTCCTCGGGCACCGCCCGATTGATATCGATGGCAACGCCGGCGCCTACGAGTGGCAGTTCTACAAGAGCATATTTGTCATCCTTTCTGCTATCTTTATTCTTATCTTTAGTGCTACGAGCGTGTCCAAGCCTTCAGCGCTCGCATGCTCCGATATGCTCCCGCCC